CCTGCACGGCCTTGGAATAATTCTTTCCACCCCTCTCTATTTCAGCTGCCCCCTGCTTTCCCAGTGTACACTTGCCACACCTTCTTCAGGGCCCTACTCAGGGCTCTTTGATCAAGTACTCTCTTGGTCAAGAGCCTAGGCAAGCAAGAACAGATGGAGTTTCCCATATTACTGTGCTGATCCTCATGAAACATTGCATCCCAGTAAATCTGGCCCTATTATTTCTAAGCCCCTAAAATGTTCGTTTAGAACCCACAGGCCTGCTCAAGTCATCTGATAGTACCAGCTTTTGCATGCCACATTCCAGCCATCAAGACCAAGCTGTGAACCCAAGGGCTGATATCTAGGGAGTTTAGCATATCCTGGGTTTGTGTGTCCCATAGATTCACCTTTCCCCCAGGGCCTGACCCTGGCCAGTATCTTGCCAAACCATATCCCTCTTTGGCCTTCTTATCCCACGCATCTTGCTAGTAGTTTCACATGGGAATGGGCCTACCTGACCTGTCTCCCGAAGTGGCTCCATTTCCTGGCCAGGGGGAAAGGGGAAACCTTAAGGTGGGAAAGGAGACAGTGAGTATAGTGGTTGGGAACATAGGTTCTCAAATTCAAGTGCCAGACTCAACCCCACCCCTGCTACTTATTGATCATATAATCTGGTCACATTTTTCAACCGTGTTTTCTCCTCCATAAAATGTAATGATAATCTAGGTGCCAAGTACCAGTTGAGTGTTCAATGTCTGTGACTAATATAACCCCCAGGATAACCTATTGTGGTGGGTTTTCTTATGAGACATACTTGATGGTGAGGATCGCAGCACTCTCATCAGGGTAGACATGAAGGTGAAATGAAAACAATGCCTGGCACATAGCAAGTGCTCAACAATCTGAGCTATTATCCTCCTCTATGTAAACAAGAAGGTACTGAGGGTCACTGAGGTTAAGTACCCTCTGCCAGCCAGATCCCTTCACAATTAGAGAAACCAGATTGGCTAGCCCAAGCTTCTGAGATGCTCTGTCTCTCCCAGTAGACTCTGAAGGAGCCAGTGCTCTGAGAAAGCAGGAAGTGCTATCCAAGCATGCAGCTGCTGCAATTCCTTCTCATCCCATCCCCTGTGCCAGCTTTAGAAATAACCCTCCGATGGAGGAAATTCTGCCTTCATCCCTAAATTGTTGGGTGGGCTAGAATCCTGGAAGGAAGAGGGGTTTCCCAAGGCAACTAAGACCCTAAGTGGTGGGGTGGCCTCCTAGGCAACAAGACTCTGTGCTCTGAGCAGATCAGCCCTCCCTCCAGCCACAGAGCTCTTTAGGGCTCCTTGGGGAGGAGTCCATAGCAACATGGCTTAACCAGCCATGGAACCGAGTAAATTAGCTCAGAATGCCTCCCCAAGGCATAGGAGGGTAATGAAGAACAGAGGAAACCTAAGGAGCCTCCTTGACCACTACTAGTTCCGGCCCACTCTGGGGAGCCATGTCCTCTGACCCCAGCTCTGCCCTAACCACCTCCAGAGTTTTCTTTTTTTTTTTTTTTTCAGAGAGAGTTTTGCTATAGGGCGCGTGCACTCATCAGACAGACAGAGACAGAGAGACAGAAAGCGAGAAATCACCCCCCAGGGGGGATGGCCATGCCGCAATCCCTTCTCCTCCATTTTCCTCTCGGGATCTTGGGCACGCATGCACACGCGCCTGGCATGAGTTTAAGCCACCAGGTCCAGGACTCAAACCGCGGTCGGCTACATGGGAGTCCAACGACATAGCCATTACGCTAACTGCTGGCCCCACCACCTCCAGAGTTTTAATCAACTCTCTCTCTCTCTCAGGCAGTGATTTCTATAGAATAGAAGACAGCTAAAGAGTGAAGGATTCGGTGTCAGATTGCTAATGGTTTGGGTTCCAGATCTACTATGCACTGCTGAATGTTGAGAAAGCCATGTAACTCAGTCAGCCCTCAGTTTCCTCAGTACCTACCTATAGGGCTTCTCAGAAGACTGAAGGAGCTAATGCCAAACTATTCAGTAGAACATCTAGCATGTGGAAATGCTACTGGATGTCAGCATTTATTATCAGTAAAGCAAAAGGCTTGGCCCAGAACAGGTTATCAGTCTTGATTGTGCATTAGAATGAACTGAGGGGCTTCTAACAAGTAGCAGTCACCAGGGCGCCACCCCTGAAAAATTGGCCAGAACCTCTGGGGAAGGGGCCCAGGCACCATCAGCTAAAGCTTCCCAGGTGCTCCAGTGCGTAGCCACCACTAACGACCACAAACCAGCCCACCAATTTTCTTTGTCAACTTAACAGTCTCTCACTTAACCTGGCTTCTGAGAGCTCTTGGATTATGTCTCCTGAGCATGAAAATAGGCCTTCAAGGTTTTAATCAGGAGGGAGGGTCTCAGCACTTGTGAGGGTTCATTCTGTGGGTCTGTGTTTATTGGGTAGCATCCTTTGGCTCCTGTCCATCATGGTCTTAAGAGATGCCCCTAGGGCTCTCCTCCAGCCAGTCCCAACTCAAGGCAATTGGGCTCCTTGCTGCAGGCTGACCCCATGCTGTTTGGGCTCAAAGCTGTCCCGAGCTCCTAAAGACTTCAGTGTTCTGCGAGGCTATTTTCCTCGTTCCAATTCAGTGGATATCTTTGCTTTTGGCTTCTAAAGGGGGCTGTAGAGAGGGGCGGGTGTCCTTTGGTCATCAATGCTCAGTCCAGGGAAGAACAAATAAACATCAGCAGCCTCAGGCCACAGCTGGAAGTTCAAGGGGAGCAACCGGCTGACCATCCCCTTGCTCTTTATTGTGCTCATCATCAAGGAACAGGAGCCAAGTAGGTGTGGCTGCAGGCTGCACATTCCAGAGATGATCTCTCATGCAGTGGGTCGGGGAATAGAGACTTTTAGACGAAAGTACCCTAGAGGCCCACTGTTGACTGTGCAAATGGGGAGAGAAGGTTTTCCCAGAAAGGGAAAGGGGCCTGTCTGAGCTCACACAGTGAGTGAGGGAGTCCAACTCACGTTAAGGGGCAGGAAGAAGATATTTAAAAACCATCCCATAAAATAAATGAATTATCTTCCTCTTCTTCACCTCTGGTTGAGATCATGTGTAATTGCCCCTACCACAATGTTTCTTCCATTTAGGCAATGGAAATTATTACCGCTAAAATTTTCACTAAAAGTGACTTATAATAAACCATAAAATGGAATTCTTCATTGCCATTAAAGGAAGTCAAGAAGTTATGTGCTGCTATCTCCCCAACATATTAAGCATGAAAAGAAATGCGTACATTGATATTATCCACGTATTCTTCACAGGACATGTGAATTCCTGCCTGTACACAGCAGTATTCTTGATGGTTACAAAGTGTGCATGCTTTGGGGGTCATGGGTATTGGGAAAGGGCATTGGATGCAGCATTCGCAGGTATAAGGTAACTTTGATACCTCTCTAGGCAGAACAGGTTAAAAAAAGACACATTTAAAAACAAAGCACAATTATAATCTCTATCTAGGAATCTCACCATTTACTATTTCATTTGTAAGAAAATTATGTACTACCAAAGGACAAAAGGGAAATAATGAATGTATTAAATATCTATTTTGTGCCAGGTACTGTCTAAAGCATTTTGAATATAGTCTCTTCTTTCAAAATTTTAAATAAATGGATAATGACAGAGACAGGGAGAGGGAAAGAAAAAGGGGGAGAGACAGAGAAAGAAGGAAAGAATGAGAAAAGTGTGTGGTGCTTAGTCTGCTTCTGGCTTAAAAAATGAGATTGTGAATGTGAAAACACAATGCCTAGCACATGTGTGCACGGGACGTTTCTAGAAGAATACAAGAAACAAAGTACAGATCATAAAAACTGGGAACAAAAGTCCAGAATGGGATGGAGTCTATCCCTTATGCTGTTTGTATTTGTACAAGCTACATTTATGTTGAACAGCTAACTACATAAGTACTAACCCATAGAAAACCAGCACAGTCTAATTCTAGCTATGTCTTTGAGCAAGAACCTCAGGTTATGTTGGTAATGAGGTCTGCAATACTCTGTGTAGAAGTCTGTTTCAATCCATGCCTTATTTCTGAACCAAACCTTGCTTCATTGATCCAGGGAGTGGGGTCAGAGGTAAGGGTGGGGGGAATAAAGACCAAGAAGAACAGCAAGGATATTTTCATTTCAGCTGAAATTTTACCTTCTGTGCCTAATTCTTTGGATCCATTGTCTGGTGGTCATTTCTCTCTGTGAGCCATGAAATCTCATTGCTCTGACCTGCCCCTCCTATGACTCGTACGTTGTCTCCAAGTGGTAGAGGGGGGTGTTGATCAGCAGGCAGTCCTTGCATTCTGACTGTGCTTCTTTCTGCCAGGTACCTGCTGGAACAGGATTTCCCAGGCATGAGGATTGGGCCTGAACCAACCACTGACTCCTTCATTGCAGTGATGCAGGGCGATGTGGAGGGGATCATCCCTGGGAATGCTCTGGTGGTGGATCCTAAGAAACCCTTCAGGAAACTCAATGCCTTTGGCAATGCCTTCTTGAACAGGTGCGTGTAAAGGGGAAACCAACACCTTAGAGTGTTTGCTTTGCTTCTTCTTGGAGTATGAGACGTGAAGGATGGGGCAGGGTCTTGGAGGCTCTGCACTTTTCCACACTTAGAGATTCATGATTGCCCCCTGGCTTCCTGGGAAGGTAACTGAGTCCGTTGCCACTGTGAGATGTGGAAGCCACAAACACTATTCTGATTCCTGATCAAGAACAGGAGTGTATGCAATAATGACTTAAGTCACGTTCCCCCAACCCACACTTCCCCACAACAAAAGTGAAGAAGGATGCTTAAGATGAGTCTTCAGAAAGTTCACAGAGGGACCAGCAGTTGGCCTAATGGCTATGTCACTGGACTCCCACGTAGTTGACCATGGTTTGAGTCCCAGACCTAGGGGCTTACAACTCATGTTGGGCGTGTGTGTTCAAAATCCTGAGAGGAGAATGGAAGAAAGGGGATTGCTGTGTCGCCATCCCTCCTGGGGGATATTTCTTCACTTTCTGTCTCTCTGTCTCTCTCTGTCTCTCTGGCGAGCACATGAACCCTATAGCAAAAATCTCTCCAAAAAAAGTTTATGGAAAGTACATATTATGAAAAAAGCATGCATCGCTTGCCAATATTTTTTGTACCAAAATAAACTCATACTTTAATTCTATTTTTTAGCATTTGTCTTAAAATTTTTTTCATAAAATTTTTTTCATAGTGAATGACAAGCACCCTCAACAGGGTCTCATACCATGATCCCTCAGTCTCACCCTAGCCTTCCCAGCTCACCAGGATCATGGTGCACACGCCATGGTCAATCAGCACTTATAGGTCAACCAGGGAACTGAACCCATGAGCTTCCATATAGATCCAGCACATTGGAGCAGTATATTACCACTGTCCTATGAAGCCAGCCCTTTAATTTTATCTTTCACAAACTTTTTAAAGAACATGGTTTCCAGCATTTGCCTGTCCTGTGGCTAAGAACTGCATCCATCTAGAAGGAAGCAAAAGAAAGTTCTTTTCTGTTTCTGGATTTTGTTTTTACTTGGTAGAAAGAATCCTGGACTTAGGGAGTAAGCACTGGGTTAGAGCACTTACTCTCTTACTAAACTCACTTTGTGACCTTGCACAGGCCGTCTCCTCTCTCCTGGAACAATTTTAAGCCTTCAAATTCCCAGGTCATCATGGCACTTTGAGTGGAGAAAGCTCTAGGGAATGCTTGGCAAGCTAATCTGGCCCTTTACATTATTATTCTGCATAAGTAGAATGAGGCTGATCCCCTGATTGCAATTATTATACTTACAAATCTGATTTTACACATGCATTGTATTTAATAATTTTCAAATTACTTTTTCTAGCATATGCACTTTGGCTTCAAGATAGACCTGTGTTCAAATTCTTCCCAGTACCTTGAATCTTGAACAAGTTACCACAGTTCTTTGTGTCTAAATTTCCCATCTATCAGATAGGATAGGAGAAATATCTTCTTTCAAGGAGTTGAGGAGAAATATGTGAGATCCTGAACAGAATGTACTTAGTGTCTGGCACAGAGTAACTAAACAAGAAGTGTTAGGTCATGGCAATATTATTAATACGTATTGTTTATTAGATGCTCAAATTTTCTAGTGACCTGCAGTTGCCGTTTTTCAGATGTAGAGAAGGAGGCTCATCACTCAAGCATTTTTAGTATCTTTTATCCTGAAATATATGTATTTTTTTTCCATGAAAGAGAAAGACCAAGACAAAGACAGAGAGACAGGATCCCTCAACAGGGTCACTACACTACCATCCACTCCCAGTTTCAGCCAACCTGGATCATAGACCTGTGTGTGTCTGTCGTGTTCACAGAGGTCTATAGATACAAACCAGGACCTTTCCTGTGTGGGTCCAGTAGCATTATTGCTGCACCACCACCTGGCCCCTGAGATATATATATTTTTAAACCAGGAACTTGCCTTTGCTCTTTTTTGTAGTGACGTGGTGGTCAATGACCCTCCTAGTCAGGGATGCAAGAAGAACCACATAAGTGAATAAAGGGTGGAGTTGTGAGTGGGCAGGGTAAGCTCCCAAATAGTGATGCAGAGGACGGACCGTGCTGACCAATCTTAGAAAGATAACCTACCCAGTATGGAGGCCTGGGGTGCTTGACTTGGTTTATTCAAGGAACAAATCTAAGAACTGAGTATAAGGTTAAGGTGGTCATGGTGGCAAGGTGTCTTGGACAGATATCCTGGAACCAGGAGCTGAAAAGGGGGGTCTGGACCAAGGAAAATGGTGAGGCATGCACCCAAAATGGTGAAATGCTGAAGTGGATGGGGACCATGGGGGCCGGAATGAGTTAGAGAAGAATGAGTCAGCAGGTGTGAATAGAGTTAGTCACATCTAGGGCAGGGGGTCATGGATTTGACTTTGGCACACTGAGTCTACAATGTCTGTGAGTCAGCTGAGGAGCACTATCCTGTCTCAAGGAAGAGATGAAGAGTTGGATTCAGGTGAGAGGAGAGAAAAGCCCAGGGTATACAGGATGTAATTGGGACCACTGGATGAGGAGTGCAGGGTTAGTAGCTAACCACATTTCAGGATAAGTGTGCTTATAATGATAATAGCATATTGTATTACATGTAATGCCTATAGTTATGATAGCAGAATGTATGTAATTGCTATCAAACACATATTGCATTCCTGAGAGCTGAGAGTCCTCATGTCATTAATCAAGCCTAGCCAACTCTTGCTAACTCCATTGTCAAAGGTATTGAAAGAAGGAGGTGTAAATGAGATGGGGTGGGGATTGTTGATCCTGGATAAAGACATTTAACCTCTTTGAATGTCTTCATTTGTAAAAACTTTACTTTCTTTTTTTTTCTTTTTGAGAGGTTTTTGCTATAGTGTGCGTGCACTTGCCAGAAAGGCAGAGAGAGACAGAGACAGAAAGTGAGAAGTCACCCCCAAGTGTGTGGGGAGGGGCAGGGAGGTGGCCACGCCGCAATCTCTGCTACTCCATTCTCCTCTCAGGATCTTGGGCATGGCATGCACACACGCCCGGCGTGAGTTTAAGCCACCAGGTCCGGGACTCAAACCGTGGTGGACTACATGGGAGTCCAGCGACATAGCCATTACACTAACTGCTGGTCCCTGTAAAATCTTTGAATGCAAATTGCAAATCTTCTGTACCTTAATGTCTTCCTGCAACTGTTGTATGAAAAAATATCTGAGAAAGGAAGAAAAAGGTATGTAATGTGCTTACTTGTAGTTGTTTATAGTGGTTACATTTACAGAGTGAAATTGAGGGGGAAAGAAAAAATGGAAGAAGGGGGCCTTTATATTTCATTTTATTCCTCTTTGAACCATTCATTTATTTTAGTTCCATGTATATTTCTTTTATAAAAATTAATTTATAAAGAAAGTATATAGGAAGGTGCTATGAAAAGGAGAGATTCTGTTAAGAGGCTGGGATCTCTATTGAAATCTGTGATTTCAGTGAATAAGATGTTTACCCTGATGAAGCTGACTCAGGCAAGAGCCTGCGCTTCCAGAGTGACCTGTTTGGCATCTGACCTGGAGAGGCAGACTTAGAAAGGAGGAAACGTGATCTTAGTGGGGGCTGTTTCCCCTGTCAACTTCCCAAGTGCCTTGCAGAGGGATCGAATTCATGTTTTACTTCCGTAGACCCTCTTCTCATCCCTTAGCTGCCTGGGGCTCACTCTGTGGGAGAACATCAGACTGAATCCTGTCCAGGGGATGTAGGCAAGAGAAATAATAGAGTTGCTTAGGCCTTTGTGGAAAAGTTGCTATTTGACACAGGCATTAAATCATAAGAGAAATAATACTGGTGGGATTATTTTAGAGTTTTTTTAAAAAACTGGTAGGATTTTCAAAAAAGAAAGAAAAGCAATCTGTGGAAGATAATGTATTTGGTGATGTCCTTGACTTGACTAATACGCACCACAGTCGTGCTGGGAGAAGCCATGTTGTGCACTGTAAGACTGTACAGTGATTAAATGTACACATCGGGTTGTCGGGAAAGTCGTGACATATTTTTCTATGTGAAAATGTGTCACGACTTTCCCAACACCCTAATAGAAAAACAAATTGAAATAAATAAATAAAAAGGACATTCCTGACAGAGAAAACGGAAGAGAGAAAAAGATATTGATATAACTACATACATATTATATATGTATATCTGCAAATGTATCTATAGATCCTAGACATATCTAGATCTCTATATAGCTATGTATGAGCAGAGAGGAGTGAAAGAGTG